GCCGGCGGCGGCACGAGGAGGCGGCTCCGCTGCCGGCAGGGCCGTGGGGCTGCCCGGCACGAGCCTGGCTGCCGAGGGGCGTCTGGTTTGGGACCTCCTGTGTGGTTTGCGAAGGGGAGAAACACGCCAAGGGGGTGGCTCGAGAGTTGGGCGGGAAGAGCAGAAATAGTGTCTAACCCAAGGTTAGTATGGCCTTTTCACAGAGTCACAGAATGGTTGTGGTTGGAAGGGACCTCTAGAGGTCACCTAGTCCAACCTCCTGCACATGCAGGGTCACCTAGAGCATGTGGCACAGGGTGGCATCCAAGCGGGTTTGGAAGATCTCCAGAGAAGGAGACTCCACAACCTCTCTGGGCAGCCTGTTCCAGTGCTCTGACACCCTCACAGTACAGAAGTCCTTCCTCGTATGTTTTCGCCTCCAGTTTTTGCAGTGCTTGGGCAGGTGCTGAGTTACAGGCCACTTTCGCCTCTTAGCTGCGGTTTTATGACATACACTGCTCCCTGAGCTAGCTCAGCAGACCCTTCCTGTATTTCAGGGGGTGTTCCCTGGATTTCAGAGGGTGATCCAGTGGAATTTGGGGATATCTGAGGCATACTGAGAATTTTTGACATGAGATACAATAAGTATCATAAAGAATTATATAATAAAATGAAAATATTCCATTGAAGAATCATGCACATAGTGAGGTTTTTGTAGATTTAAGTGAAAGAAATCTAAAGCCAGACATATGGAAATTTTATGAAATGCGAATTATTTGGTGGCAAAGGTTAACCAGTACTATGTTGCAGATGCCATTACAGGACAAATAGGACCCTTCTCCCTTCTTTTATTACCTTTAAAATACAATGTTAGTCACAGAATCACACATATTGCAGGCAAATACACCTAATGTCAGCCTGTCTAGAGCCAGCTTTTAGCCTAATTTTGTTGCCGTGGGGTCACCTGGAGCACATCACTCTGTTCAGATTTGAAGAACAGAACTGTAAAGTTCATGTTGTCTTGCCTTTTGGCACTGCTTTTTATTGGCCTTCTTTGGGCATCTTTGGCTGGCTACTTAGGTTAAAAGAGCCCAATGCTAAAGCCATAACCTTAGGACTCCCACGTCCTTAGGGCTACTAGGGATCTGCAAAAGTCTGCTAGTGTTAACGTGCCCCCTTTGGCCTTGCTTGCTCTTCGGAGGCTTCCAAAATGCCTGGGAGCCTCCTGATTTGCTAGGCCAGAGGTTTCCCACTTTTCTTCCTGTGCTGGCCCGTTAGTGGCTTTTCTGCTGCTGGGATGGATCCGCTCTCCTGCTGATCGCTGCTGTGAACCCGGTGCTGGCCGGGAGGGGAAGGTTGGGCCGCGCGAGCGCCCAGGCCCTCGGGCGCTGCCGCCGCTCTCGCTGAGGGCCCTCATTCCTGGGGGCTGCTCAGGTGTATGAGAGAAATAACAAACAGGATCAGGACCCCCTAGGAAAATAATTCATCCAGGCAGTGCTTTGGTGTTCTCCGAGTTTTTCCAGGAAAAAAAAAAAAAAGCCACTGTGAGCAAGAGAGGAATTATCCCCACCAAGGAATTATCCACCTGCAGCTTGCTGGCTGTGACCTCTCCCCGCCTTGCATGAAGCTGCCCCGAATCTGCCTTGTAGCAGCAACACTGCCCTGCTGCTCTGCTTCCCTCTGTGTGACTGGTGCTGAGGTAGGTGGTTTGGCTCTGCCCAGTTTCAGTACTGTGCCCGAAATAAGGCTTTGTATTACCTGCACGCTTGGCTATATAGGTCCAGTCCTGCACTCCCCAAAACTTGTGTGCAGCTCCTTGAATTCCTGGGGATTAATCAGGCATATAAATGCTGGCTGGATCTGTAAATAGTTTCTCAGTTCTTTCCAAATCATTAACACATTGCTTATCTTTGTATTTCTTTCACTTTTTAAAAAGAACATTTAGGGCAAGGGCCTGACGCAAAGTGCAGACAAGATCTCAGTTCAGCAAACATCTTTTCCTTATGAAAACTATCAAGCGTACAGAGAGCATGCACACCAGGCAAGATCAATAGGACCTAATAATGTACATGAGTTTTTCTTACAGGAGACCTGTGCTTCCTAATTAGTTTTTCACCGTCTCAAATCAAACCTGTATCAAACAGTAAAAACAAAGAAGTCCCCAGCAGAACAGCAACACAAATCTGTGACTAGGAGAGCACAAATAATAATATAATGAAAATGCTGCCCTCGGCATTTTGACTAATTTGTTTTAAAATAAATCTATGAAAAAAATAAGTTTTCAGAGGTTTTCAGCCATTGCCTGAAATGAGCTGCTAGTGCATACAGTGCTTCAGAGAACATCTTGCTACATTTGATTTACACGGTGCCATAGTATTGCCAAAATGAGCAACATTAGGCACAGAGAACTAAATCTTCGTTTCAAGGAAGCTGTTTATTGCTTGAGTCCGGATCTGTGCTTCTTTCCGCCGTGCTACATGTGGATCCGTGCTGCCAACCTGGGCAGTTTTACATGTCACGATGCCCCGGGGCGGCCGGACCGGCTGGGGCTGGCGGGACCTCAGTGCTTCCCTGCGTGACACCTTGTTCCAGCATGGCAGAAATTTCGGTTTTGCTTAAAAGGCACTAGGCCTTATCATTACAGAGGAAAGATTAAGAGGGCAAATGCAAGCTCACAAAACTCACTAATCAGACTGCAAAGAAAGAAAACTGCAATCATTTTTTTAAACTAAGTTCATGTTTTTTTAAGGAATCTCATGCATTTTTAGACCCCCAACTCATGGTTTCTGGACAAAGTTGCAAGTACGTTAACATAGTAGTAAACAAAATGCTAGTATTTTGGGAGTCATTCTAGGGAGTTTGCAGGAATGGTTAATCTTGCAGTTTGATACATTACCTTTATTATATTATTAAACTGAGAATAAAGTGTTTCATGTAGAAACTCCCAAACTGTCCATCTCTTTCTGCTCATAATCCCTTTGCCTCTGCTTGTAGGCTCGAGAGCTTACTCTCTGCTTGACAAATAGTGAATTTGCTTCATCTTTATTATCAAGAGGAGTTAAATATATGTATATATGTATATATATAGGTGCTAAAAGGATGCCTTCACATACCTACAGACATGGATTGCAGACTGCAGGTTTTGTCTGTTTAC